CTTCTTGAATAAGATTGAAACCTTTAAAATTTCTAGGATTATGTGCATTTAATCTAAATCTTAAAATAAATTGACATAAAATTCTTAATATTCTTTATTACCTTTTCCTACCTTTATTGTGAAATATAGAAAAATGTATAAAATAGCTTAATGAATAAGATGAAACAAACAGCAATGTAATTTTAGACAGTATAAGATAAAGAAGGCCAGGCGCTGGTGGCTCACGCTGTAATCCTAGCTACTTGGGAGGCTGAGATTAGGATGATCACAGTTTGAGGCCAGTCCAAGCAAATAGTTTGCGATACCCCATTTGCAAAATGGACTGAAATTGTGGTTCAAGTGGTGGAGTACCTGCTTTGCAAGTGCAAAGCTCTGAGTTCAAATCCCAGTCCCATAAAAAAAAAAGAAAAAACATTAACCAGCAGTATTGGGTAGCTAATTGGATCAATAGAAATTTGCATGTTAATCAAAACCTCATTATATCTGAAATAAATTTTCAAGAGACTTTTACAGGAGAGAAATCTACAGCACACAAATGTAGATATGTGCCTGAATTTACATAGAAAATAGCTTAATATACAATCTGGAATTACTCTTTTCCTGATTTGTCAAATTGTTGTAACCCAGGTATCACATGGACCCTCTGGCCTCCTAGACTCTAAGACTTACTGACTAAAACCACCAATGATTCCACAGCCTTGGAAATCTGAACATCTTCTCATTGTGTGTGTTAATTTCCGGAACTTGTACTCTTTTTTTTCCCCTCAACTATTCAGCTCCCTTCTTTTACTGTACTACATTTAATCTTTTAGAAAGAATCCCTGCATACACAGCAGGAGAGCAGATCTCAGTTAAATAGAGACCAAATCTTACACAGTGATTAGTGCTCCTAATCACTGTGTAGGGGACATGGAGGAACACCCTATAACAAGCAACTTAAAAATCCATACCAGATACACTGCTATCCAGTATCCTCTACTGTCATGCCATTTCCAGTTCCTTTTCTCCCTTACCCTTGTCTGCTTTCTGCTTTTCCTCCTCAACCACCTTCCATTCCCTTTACTTTCTCTTTTCCAGATTAATCTTCAGAAGCCTGTACTCTAGATTCTTTCATCTCTTCTATACAGTAGTTTGCTTTTTCCCTTGAAGGCTATATGGCAGCTGACCTCTAGGCCCAGAAAGGCAGTGGAAACATTCAGCTTCTACATCAAATGCTGGTTGGACTCTCCCTTCAACCAGGCTTCATTTTTTAGAGAAATTCTAGATTTATCTAGTCATATTTTTACATTCCTATTTTGTCAATGGGCTCTAAGAGCTAATTTGAGTTTTCCTAACAATAGAGTAACAAGTACTCACAGTCCTTGACCAGGGAATATTCTCCTTTGGTTCAGTTTGGTTGTCTTCCATAGAGAATACAGCTTGAAAAGGAGCAAATAGCATAGAGACAGGACTGAGATAGCCACCTACCATTCTGGATCCTTACAAATCAGTAGGGTGACAAATGCCACTGGTAGACATCTGACATACATTGGGAAATTGAAGTAGAAAAGGCTTGAATTGTAGCCAAATTTACACTGGAGCAATGGGCAGTCACTCAGTTAAAGTTGTATAGAATTTACTTTCTTCTTAAGAAGTGAGGCCAAACTCCCAGACTGCCAGGACACAATCCTGTTTGGATTGCTGTTTCCTTGAAGTAGCCAGTATCATTTAGAACTAAAATTTCTTTAAATTTTGGGCTAGTGGTAGAGTTGCCTGCCTGGCAAGTGCAAAGTCCAGAGCTCAAACCCAGTACTGCCAAAAAAAACAAAACAAAAAAAAGTTCTAATTTTAAGTTTTAAAGATGTAATGACCTCTTCTTTTTTTTCTAAGTGCAATTCTAATTAATTTGAAATTTCTTGAACAAGTATGAAAGTAAATGACCAGACTGTAAGTGGATAGGACTGTATCATTCATATTCATAATATATATATCTCCGTACTCCGTATAGTGATACACTTGGTCAATACTTGATAAATCTTTGGTTATTGAATAGAGTTGAAAGATATTTCATTGAAAATGTCATATATATCCAGTGAAGCATAGAATATTTGAACTAAAAAGAAATCATTAATGCAGTCATTTTGCCTTATGGACAAAGAAGTAAAGTAGAGAACAAGATTTAAAAGAAAACCTGGTATTAATGTCCTGGCTCTATGTTAGGGGTTGTGTGAGCTTCAGTTACTTCATCTGTGATGTCAGTTTCATAAGGTGGCTAGCATGTGAAATTGAAGTCATTGTGGTGAAAATACTTTGCTAATATAGCATTACACAATTGTAAATTACTATTATAACCATATCTGCTGCAGGTATAAGTTGTAGAAAGAGATAAAGAATTAGTTCAAGTACATTGAGCTAGTTAATGGCAGCTTAAGTTGAGAACCCAGACCATCTGACTCTCTTAGGCCATATTGTCCTTTGGGTTTGGCAAAAACTTCATTTTGAACCCTGGAAAAGTGGCAACACTATTCGACTTTGTCATACCTTGATTAAAGTGAAATCTTTTGATTGCCTAAGGTGCTGGGCCAAAAGGCAATATACTTGAGCGCAAGGTATTTAATGTGCCAATACACTGGCCAAATTAATGCCTATGCTCCTCACAAGGCTCCAGAGCAGGTGCTCTCCAGACACCCTTTTTAGTATTTGAACCTCAGAAACACTGAATTCTCATCAAGCTCCAGTGGAACACTTGGTTATCACCTTCAGCACTCATTAAAGCAAAGGATATTTGCAGACTGGAGATGCAGATAGGTGGTACAGCATTTGCCTAGTATGTACAAGGACCTGGGTTTGACCCCAGCACCACAAGTGGGAAAAAAATTAAGAAATAAAAATAAGAAATTAAAAAAAAAAAAAGCATATTTTCAGACTACATGAAACCTTTTTTTCCTATTTTTCTTCTTTCCTTCCTTCCTTTTCTCCCTCCCCCCTTCCTTTTTAAAATAGATAAAATTTGCAGAACATAATGTAAGATTTTAAATATATAAGCCAAGTTTTTCCTAATAGACCTATGTAAACAACTTCCAAAATTGTAGAACATTTTTATTCCCTTGTGCCCCTAAGTCAATCTCTACTCTGCCAGCCACCCACTTTCTGATTTCTGTTATAAATATTTTTTAAAATCTGGGATCAAATTTAATTAAAACTTTAAAAAAGCATAATTTCTCCAATGCATCTATCAAACAAGACATCATTTCTCCACTTATTTAAAGTGTCAACTTTATTAAAAGTTATATTCTACTTTATGCATAGGCTATTTTTCTATTCCTTTAATCCATGCATATTCTGTTTTTCTTGTTATTTTTTTTAAAGGGGGGGTGGTACTGGAGTTTGAACTCAGAGCTTTGTGCTTGCTAGGCAGGCATTCTGCCACTTGAGTCATACCCCCAGCCCCATGTATATTCATGAATGAACATACTTCATTGCATTAATAAAATTTAAAAGTAAAACCTTAGAAAGCCTGATGATTACAAGCTTTGAGTTAGCTAAATCTGATATTCAGTCTAGGCCTTACTTTTTATTTGCTGCATAACCTTGAGCTATTTTTCCTTTTCTCTGTCTCATGTGTTGCCCTTGGTAATGTGTGGACGATACCAATACCACTTGCCTCTTAGGGATGTTCAATTTGAAATAAGCTTTTAGCATGACACCTGCAGGTATTTAAGGCTCCATCAGTATTACCTATTGTAATTGAAATAATTTTTTCCCATTTATGCAAAGGCCATAATTCAAGAAAACTGTAGAGCTACTTAGAAACACTCTGCAGTTTCATTCCCAACCTCCTTTTTACAGATGACATCACTTCCTATTTAACAGAAACAAATTGAAGTTATCCAACATGAGTTTCCTTGACTTCCAAACTTGCCAGCTCAAAATTTTATTGCAGAACCACATATTTTTCCTTTCTTTTCACCTAAATCAAACAAGAAAATTGGCTTCTTTTATCTTGCTAATTGAATCTTTACAGAATTACACTCTACCAATTAATTTTCTTCTATCTTTAACTTTTCCATCACATATATCCCATAAACCTCCAACCTTGTCTCAAGTGGCCTCTACTCTAAAAGACTGTCTTCCCTTGATCTTACTTTTTTATTCACTTGATTTTCATAGGAGTATCTCCTAGTTTTCCTCCTTTTTCCCTGAGTGTTTCTTCACTGGCCCTCCTATATACCCCTGCTGCTTGTTCTCTGATGCAAGTTCCCCAGCATGCTGATCTTGCCATGTCTCCCTTGCTATCTCATCCTATCTATTCAAACCACCTTAGAAATTATTTTATTGGCATATATTAATTGTACAAAATAATGAACTGAAAAACATTATTTCTGTGATTCCACATGTACATGTAAATGTACTATGGTTTTTAGATCCAGCTGCCCCACTCCACCAAAAGATTTTTTTCCTCTAGTGGCACTCTTACATACTCTTAAGGTTTCTTTTCAGGTTGTGAAGTATTTTGTATTATAACATCATTAGAATAAAAGTTATCTTCCTCACTGATCATTATGCTTACTGGTATGTTTTCTAGCAAAGAAAGATATTCAATTTCCGGAAATTCTAACTAAAAAAACAAAATGACCCATTTCTATAGTGATTTTGACACTAGCATGTTTTAAGAGGCAGCCTATATAATGGAATTGTCACTGGCCTAGAAGTAGTGAAGTGATCTGAGTTCTTATTCTAATTCTGATGCTAAATATATAGGTATTTTATATCAAGTCATTTAAGTCTGGGAGTGTGGCTCAAGTGGTAAATGACTTGTCTAAATTAAGTCATTTAATCTCACTGGGCCTCCATTGGTTAATACTTCCTTATTGGTTAATACTAAATTGATAAGTGAGGATCTTCTAGACTTAGAATTCAGTGAACCCTTTTCATTCACATGGACCTTACCTGAAATAGGTCACTCAACCTATAAGGTATGTGGAAAGTAAGATTTTTTGTTTTTTTATGTTTTGAAACAGGTGACAACCAAAGCCAAGCAACTGAAGGATTCAGTTGCCTGCTCCCCAGGTGAGTTAGCACCCACCTTATCCTGTTTTCTTCAAAATTAATTCCTTTTTTGTAATAACTTCTTTAAATATAAGATGTTATATTTTTTGTTTTTTTTTTTTTTTTGTGGGACTGGGTTTTGAACTCAGTCAGGGCTTTACACTCGCAAAGCAGTGTAAAGCTCAAGCTCTACCACTTGAGCCATACCTCCAGCCCATTTTGCTCTAGTTATTTTGGAGATGGGGTCACACATACTATTTGCCCAGCGTGGCCTGGAACCACAATCCTCTTGATCTCAGCCTCCCTAAGGTTACAGGCGTGAGCCACTGGTGCCCGGCAAGATGTTGTAGTTTTGCCCAATGAACTCCACTGATCCTGTCTCTAAAAGGGATTGAGTTCAGGTACCCCCCAAGCCAGCTGGGCCCCAGATATACAATTGGTGCTAAGAAAATGTGCTTAATAAATTTAAAGAATTATACAATCATGTTATTCTCTAGTGTTTGTGGGGAGAGGAGCACAGGAGAGAGACAGTCTGTATGTCATACAATGCACCATGAACATGGATTCTGTACACTATCTACCACCTCCACACACACAGTGCTACCCTTCAGAATGAACGGCTTTCCTGAGAACTTATGTTTCTCAAAACATTTCCTTCAAGATTAACTGGAACTTTATTAGAGTCTATACTCTTCTTGGAACCAAGAATTAAGAAACTTCTCCCCATGCCTTCCATCCTAACTCAAGTAGAAGTTCCACAGAGAATGATGCAGATGAAAAGGCACAGGGGTTAGCTAGCAAACCCTGAGATTTCCAAAGTCAGTCCAAAAGAGGTTCAATTCAGTGCTCTCCAGGGTTTAGGAAGGAGCATTTCCAAGGTCCTTTCTACCAATAAAGTGACTTGTTTGGGCATGGAGGAATGGTGTGGTGTGTGAGATGAGTCTCTAAGACTTTCTCCAGAAATGTTGTTGAAAAGGCATTGCAGGTTAGAGCAGGAACTGGCATGGGTCTTCCTAGAGCATCAGCAGAAGGGGTGAAAACTCTTAGAAAGACAACAGGAAATGTGTGGGGATCTCTAGGGTGACACCTGTGGCTGAGATGACAAGTATGTTCTCCCTTTGCTGTCAAACAAAGGAAGCAGCTCCGAGCAGAGGATAGATCCAGTGTCAGTGGATCAGAGATGGAGAAGGAAAAAAGCAAAACCAGTGTGAAATTTGGTCACATCCAAATAACTTGCAGCTCCCTAAAATGCCACTGTGTCTTGGTCACAAATATATTCACTTAACTCTAATATTATTACTTTATTTTGCTTTTTTTTTTCAAGTAACCTTTAAAAATACAAGGAATTTTGAACTTAAAATGCTTCCTTAGTTTGCAGTATATTAAAGATCTCCACGAAGTGTCATCATCCATTAAAGCCATAAAACTTTGCTTTCTGAAATATTACTGGAAATTCTGAAACTGTTCCCTCAGCTTGTGAATGCCTTCCCAAGACATTGAAATGGGAAAGTTTAGAACAATAAAGCTGAATAATAGTCCACAATGTGGAAGTAGCCATCTGCTACAGATAAGGAACACATTCAAATTAAAGTATTTGGCTTTTTTTTTTTTAATGAGGGTTGTTACAGTGAACATGGAAAGAAGTGTTTACTAAGAGAAACTCAAGAAAATACAGATAACCAAAGGGAAAAAAGAAAAATCACATGGGACCTACCCACTGGTGGTTTTTTTGTTTTTTGTGTGTGTGTGTGTTTTTTTGGGTGGTACTGGGATTTGAACTCAGGGCCTTGAGTTTGCTTGGCAAGCTCTGTACCACTTGAGCCATGCCCCCAGACTCCCTTTTTTAAAATTGTCATGAAGTAGGGTCTCCAAAGTGGGGTGCACAAAATGATCTTTTGGTATATAGGAAACTCCGTTAGGATTTCTGATTTTTTTTTTTACCTTAAAATGGTAAGATTTTTACTGTTTATTATTAAATATTCACATATTTAATAGACCAAATTAAACCAGGACCCTCACTTTATCCATGATCAGAGAGTACAGGTTATGTATGGCACCAGATTTGAAAGTGGAAATTTTATGAGACTGAGGTGTCCTCATCACTTCTAACTAACTGCAACAAAATACCTGGTCCAGCAGATTTACAGATAGCCCTTGAGTAACAGTGACACTTTTTCATAAAATGGAAAGCAACCAGGGTACTATTTAATATCACACAGAGGCTCCTAGCATTTAATAAGTTACTTTTTAAATTATTAAATTTAAATTTCATGGTTTTTAATCGTGTTTCTGCAAAGTAAAGATGACTTTAATAGTGAATGTGAAAGTGACTTTTGAAAGATATTTATGCTGCAGAAAGAATATTTTGAAACAGATACTTTTACTTTGAAAAGGGAAAGAAGTAAAATACTGCCTCTGCACAAAACTAAATCTTACATGCATCTGTAATTATTTCCTGAGAACCTCCTGTAAGCAAAATTGCAGTCACAAGTAATATGTATATACATATTTTTTTCCATTTGTATTTGTACTGTGTTGTTATAATTATAAACTCCTATTAGTTGTACAAATGCACCTATTTCTCTGCATCTTTGCCAGTACTGGGTATCGTCAGATTTCACATCTTTCTCAGTTTAATCATTGAAAGGTAATAATCTGTTTTCAATTGCATATTCCTAGTATTTATTAGCTATTTGTATTTCTTCCTTTGGGAGTTAGATTAAAAGGTTTTAACTTTTTAATAAAAATTTTCTTTCCATGTTTAAGAATTCCAATAGCTACTAGATTAATTTACTTATATTCTTGCCTGTCAGAGGCAGCATAGTATAAGGCTTGCCTGACCTACTTTAGTTGTGCTAATGAAATTAATGAAAACTCTGGATTGTAAAGAGTACCCCTGCTTACCAAATAAGTATCAGATTATCCTTTGTCAAAGAGATTTTTGTGTTCTTTGATCACAACCTGATTGTATGTACCCTTTATTCCTCAGACCAGTGAAAAGGTCAAAGACTTAGAATCAGACAGAAGTAGGGCCAAATCCCATTTCCTGCTGCCTTCTGAGACTTCTTTTCCACATTTGTAAAATTAGGGTAATCATACCTGTCTTTCTAGAATAATGTGAAAAGTAAACTAAGTAATGTATGTAAGATGCTAGAACACTGCTCAATGTGTAGTAGATAGCTGCTTTTGTCATTGTCACCTGAGTTCACCTTACTCTTTTCTTGTGCGGTGGGCCCTCTTTCCTAGGAATGGTCAGACTCTCTGAACTCAAATCAACAGTCCAAAATTCCAGGCCCATCAAAATGGCTGCAACCTTGCCACATGACATCATCACTCAGCGAGAAGACATAGCAGGGGTAATGCAGGATGAAGAGCAGGAAGCCCATGCCTACCAACAGGAGGTGGTGGCTACTGAAGCCCGGCCTCGGAGGCGGAAGCCAGCCAGGCTTGTTGAGGCAGGAGCAAGAGTTGAACCAGAGGAGAAGTTTAGAGGAAAAAGGCAGAAGGATTTTGATATATCAGAACAAAATGAATCTAGCGATGAGGAGAGCCAGAAAAAAGAGAGAACTCATGCTGCAGAGGAGCCATGGACTCAGAATCAGCAGAAACTCCTAGAATTGGCATTACAGCAGTACCCAAAGGGAGCCTCTGACCGCTGGGACAGAATTGCCAAATGTGTCCCATCTAAGAGTAAGGTGGGTGAAGGAGAGAAGAATGACACCTATACACTCAGGTAGAGACCCACTGGAGTGGCTGTAGCCTCTTGTACCACTTCTTTCACCTTCTGTACATCTTTCTGTCCATGTGATCTCATATTTATTGATTATCTTCAGTACATTTCTCCCTTGGTATATAAATCTGCACACTAAGTTGGTTAGTAGTTGTAAATGAAGTCAAGATGCTAAGTATAGTCTCCATACTGGTACGGACTAACTAGTTTTTTTCAGAGAAAATTCCACAAACTTCCCTACTATAGCCTGCAGCCTCCTTGGAGAATTCACTTGAGAGGGAGGTGGTCTGAGGGAAGCCTGGGGCTGGCGAGCATCTTCCTCCTCAGCATGAAAGACAAGCTCGGGGCAACTGTGGGGTTGACCTCTATTCTTTGGACTCAGTGATGGTACCTAGTCATCCAGACACTCTGAGGCAGTACTTCTGTGTGGCTTCAGTGCAAGATTAATGTGTAGGACTCAGCTTGTCCTCAGAAACCTTGGTATTTGCTAAAATACATATGTGGTGGTCTCAAATAAGACTCAGATAGGAGGAAATGGGGTATATCCTGTGGAGAGCAGTCCCAGCCCAGGAATGGCCTTCCCTCTGCTATGTGATCTGACAGTGTGGAGCTGCAGAACTCCAGGCTGTGATCTTTCTAGCCCTGGCCTTTCTCCACAAACACAGCTCCTGGGGGGCTTTTTTCCTTGTGGCTGGGCTCTCAGTCTGAGGCATCAGGAATGCCTAGAAATCAAAAGAACCCATCTCCAGTGCCTTCTGTGACTATCACTCAGTTGCCTCTGGGCATATTGATGCTCATTTACATTCTTTTTTTTTGTTTATTGAAATTCTATGTTGGAAAATCTAGCTTGTGGCCATGCATGTCCCTGAGTGAGTGCACAGGTCTAGTTTCCTACTTTAAAATGATGTTGAGAGTTCTTGGGGAGAAAAGTAAACCATTAGCAGTTTATCTCTTTGGGAAGCACAGATTATCCCAATCTTTCCAACCAGTTGTCACAAGTAATTATTTTCTCTCAGTTTCTCAGCTTGTGTCAAGACACAGGCATTTACATGTTGATGAATTGACGTTGGCTCAAAATAAAGGAGCTGGAACTGCATTCCTCAGGATAAAGCACTCAGAAACTCATAGCCTTGAGGATTGGAAACCTTCCTGTTTTTAGCCAGAAAGAAATGGGCCTTCAGCATCCCTCCCCCCCAACAGGTGTCCCCTGAAGCCTCAACTTTAGGACTGGTTCCAAAGAGGGCTGCCTGCTGGCTTCTGCTCCCAGCCTGCCTGCAGCAGCTCCACCAACCTGCCTAGAATGCCACAGGGGGCATTCCAGAGCCTTTGCCACCTGCTTGCTCAGAGCTCAGGACCACACTGTCCTTCCCAGGGTTATGTTAGTTCCATGCACTAGGTTATTAGAGACATGTGTCTGCTAAGGAAAGACTGGGAGAATGAACACCTGTTCCTGCCCAAGGCACCTTGGTGAAGTCATCTGCTTTAGAACAGAAGACATTTGCCCTGGACCCTATGTTAACAAAGCACTTACAGTCCTATGGGGCTAGTATTGTCTGAACAGAAACAGAATGGATTGTAGACGTTCCCCACCTTTGCCCTGTCTCTGCTTTAGTCTCACCAGGTATGACAGCTATAAGCAGCAGAATTCTGGGCTAGTCATTCTGTAATGTTGGGGGAGACAGAGGAGCTAGTCATCCTGTAATCTGAGAGGGGAGTGGAATAGACACTGAGGTGGCACTGGGAAGGGCAGGAGAGAGAGTTGGGGTAGAGGACTGGCTGCTGTGGCCCTCTCAGGAAGATCTCTGCAGCCCCCAGGGAGAGGTAGAGCCAAATGAGAATATTATTATGGCCACCTGACATCGAGTTTCTTGGCTTCTCTGAAGTGCCGTAGGATAAAATAGTGAAATATTCACATGATAATTGCAGTTAGCAAGTTGAAAGTCACCACCATCTTTTTTCCCCCCATTGGAAGGAGTCAGGATTTATTTGAAAAGGATCCCAAAATCACAGAAAACAAAAATGAAAATAGACAAAATGGGATTACATCAAAGTAAATAGCTTCGACACAATAAAGGAAGCAATCATCAGAGTGAAGAAAGAATTTACGCACTGGTAGAACATATTTGCAAAATATACATTTGATAAGGGGTTAATACCCAGGACATATCAGGAACTCAAACAACTCAGTAGCAAAAAAAATCCCAAAGAGCCCAAAGAAAAATGGGCAAGAGATTACAATAGACATTTCCCAAAGACAAACAAAAGTTATATGAAAAATGTTCAAAATTTGTATATGCTATGGAAATGCATATCAAAACCACAGTGAGATATCACCTCACTGCAGTCAGAGTTTGAGAGTACAGTGATGATTTTTAAAGGCTGGGGACAGTAAAGAGGAAGGAAAGATGGATGGAGGAAGGAAAGGACAGTTGATGGATAGATGCTAAATTCCAGTTAGAGTAAAGGCTTTGGTGTGCTATTGCATCATAGGCTGAATAGATTGAAAAAAATTATGCACTGTATATCTCACAAAGCTAGCAGAAGGGATTTTGAATGTTTTAGCCATAAAGAAATGATAAATGTTTGTGCTGGAAGTGTGGCTCAAGTGGTAGAGCACCTAGCAAGTACAAAGGGCTGAATTCCATCCCCACTACTACCAAAAAAATGGCAGATATTTAAGGATATATTTAACCTGATTTAAACATTACACAATGTATTACCCAATTACATTACACAAGTCTTGGACAATAATTCTTTATGGTTATTCAAAAATGGGTACCACCATCTTAAAGACAATATGCCTCACAGTTCCCCATGGTTAGCACCTTTACCTTGGGCTTACCTTGCAGTAGGCCTTCTCTGCATACCTGTCTAAGGTGTAACCAGCCCTACCTGTTACCTGTTGGACTTACCCAGGAAATTCCAGAAGGTTCTGGGCAAAGGGAATGGACACAAGGCCTCTTTATTAGTACTGGGCATAAGTCAGCAAACAGGCCACAGCTGTAGGCTGACTGCACAAGGAGGAAAGACTTGTGGGAGTAACTGTTTCTCTTTTTTTTTTTCCTTCCTGCAGGAAGACTGTATTGCTAGGTACAAGTTGCTGGTTGAACTGGTCCAAAAGAAAAAACAAGCTAAAAGCTGAATGTCCTGGAAGATGGCGTTCACCTTCACTTTCCAAAATGAGTATTTCAGAAATCTTATGCAGAAACTTGCATTTTGTACCTCAGTATTTCTATATATCATGTGCCTTAGTAAAAAAAAAAAAAAAAGGTAATGGATGTTGTACTACAGTGTTTAAACAAATCCTGTGTTAAGGGAAAGGGATTTGGATATTTTGCATATTATTTTATTTCTTCTACTGCAAAGATTACTTTTGGAGGATTATTTTTGGAGGAATGTTGCAAATAATGCATTGCAGTTCCAAGTAAGTTTTTTAAGGAACATGTAAGTGAATTAGCTTCTAAGAATTCAAACTTAGTATGTTTCCTTAAAAGTGTGGCTAGAGAGCACGCAGTAATGTCATTATTGGGGTTGAGTAGCACAAAGAAAAGCTTGGAGAAAAATAAATCAGGTTGGTTTCAAGCTGGCTAGCTAAGAGCAATGGGAGATTGTTTTAATTAGTTATATATAGCTAGGGGGAAAAAAAAACCTAAATGAACAAGGACAAGGACATAAGGCAAGTTTTTATGGACTGATGAAACTTTTTCAATACCTAGGTTAAAATCACTGTTTTGTACTTTTGTGGGTTTTTTTTGTCTTGGCAGTGCTGGGGTTTGAACTCAAAGGCCTCAAGCTTACTAGGCAGGTGCTGTATCTTTTTAAGTCTGGGTTTGTTGAGAGCTTGGAAGTAGTTCAATGAATGCAACCTGGAAGATGTAAGCTAACCAGAACAGCTGCGCAACAGCGGCTCATGCCAGTAGTCCTGTCTACTTGGGAGCTCAGATTGGGAGGATTGTGGTTGGAGGCCAGCCTTAATAAGTAGTTTGGGAGACCCCATCTGCAAAATAACCAGAGCAAAATGGCTGAAGTTGTGGCTTAAGTGGTAGAGCACCTGCTTTGCAAGCAGGAAACTCCAAGTTCAAACCCCAGTCCCAGTAACAGTAACAAAAAAAGATAACCAGAACACACTTAGGGAAAATGATTTAATGTATGTAAAGACATCACTTTTCTCTAGATGGAAATGAGGATAGTTTTCTCAAGGAAACTTTGGGTGGCAGAAATCACCTCTCCATTGGGTAAGCATTTCTCCAGAGGAGGACATGGAGCCAGGTGAGCCCCGAGCCCTTCCCTGACAATGGATGACAAAGGAGGCCTCAGCTCTCCAGCTGATGTTGCTCTGAGAGGATGTTGTGGGGAACTCACTCCTTAGAGACTGCTTCCTGATTCTTTTTTTTTGTCTCATGGTACTGGGGGTTGAACTCAGAACTTCACATTTGCTAGGCAGGTGCTGTACCACTTAAGCCATGGCCCCAGACCTTTTTGTTTCAGGTTAGTTTTCAGCTAGGTCTTGTTTTTTACCTAGGACTTGCCTCAGACATTGATCCTTCTTCCTGTACACCTCTCCAGTAGCTGAGATCACAGGGACAAGCCACCACACCCAGCTTGGGGATCTCCCTAACTTTTTACCTAAGCTGACCTCAAACCATGATCCTCTCAATCTCTCCCACTGGAGTAGCTGAAATTACAAGTGTGAGCCACCACACCCAGCTCATCTCCCTAATTCTAAAAAGAGTAGTTGAAAAGTTAAAAAATCAAATTGCCAGCTTACAGCTACATGGTCTTGGTGTTCACTGAACCGCTTCAGTCATCAGGCAGCAGCTTCCTTGGCTCCATTCCACAGGGAAGGAAGTGGGGAAGGGGCTGCCATGGAGACAGTCACCATCCAGAAGTGTTCCTCCACCCTCTTCCTAATAACAAGCCAAAGCCAACAGTCTTGGGGTGGCTCCAGGGTAGGCAGATCTTCCCCAGAGCTTCTGTCCTGAAGCTTGTGGGGCTGAGGTAGTTCTTGGCATCCCTGGCTGGTCCTGTCCCACCTCCCCATTAGTTTAGTGAAGCTTCAGAGAATGAAATGAGTGAGGAGGAACTGGAGAGAGAGAGACCATCTTGGCTGTGTTCCAGACCCTGGGTCCTCATCTAGCTTGTCTGTCGTTTAGCTTGTGTCATTCTGTGAGCATCCTGCCATTAGATCACCCTTTTTAACATTTAAAACACCTTCTGGGTTTCTGTCACACACACACCCTGACCCAAAATCCCAGTGAAGGTTTTTTTGTCATTTGGCTTCCTGCATGCCTGCCACCTACTCAAATATCCTTGTTTTCTTTTTCTTACTGCTCTCATGAGATCAGCCAGCCACTATTCTTCCTTTTCTTTCTCAGTTCTTTTTCCTTTTTTTTTTGAGAAGTTACCATGTGAAATTTTTTTTTGCCCTTGTTAGATGAGACTGCCTGACTCACCTGTCCCAGGTGAAAGGGACTTCTGACCCTTCCCCCTACACTACTGGTACTGCAAATCTGGAGCCCCTAATGTCCCTAGGGTTGCTCACCAGGGTGGCTCTAGCCTCCACAGAGGACCTGACCTTCAGGGATTTGCCTGCTGTACATTACTGAATATTGCCTTCTGAGAATGAATCTGACACTTGAAAATAGCCAGAGGCCCCAGAAGGTCAGCCACTAAGCAGGGGCCATACTCAGGCCACACTGTTCAGAAACAAGGTGCCCCCAGGCTCCAAAGCCTCTGTTTTAGAGAGGCATGGCCTCCACCCTCTGCATTCCCTTCCCCTTGAGCATGGCTCCTTCTTGTTTCTGAGCTGTGGTGCATTGCGGGGGTCGGTTCACTTCTTCATCACAATTCCTCACCTGGTGAGTTGGGTTGCTCAAGTGATAATGTCTGGGAGATCCTTAACAGTGCTGAGCTCCTAGGAAGCAGTCAGTGTTCTCTTGTCTGTCTGACCATCCAGCCTTCGTGGCCATCATTTTCCTGACCATGGACACTGGCACAGCCGAGGGCCAGGATCAGGCTACTTCGAGCTCACACTAAAGGCCTAGGGTTCCTTGGTGGCTGTGGACACTGGGTATGAACAGTCTTCCCTTTGTCTCCATGTGTCATTTTTCTTTGGAGAGGGCCTGGACTTTCCTAAGTGCCCCAAGAGTTGCTTACTGGCAAAGGTTACTAATGCCTGTGCCCTGATGCTTGTTCTGACATGCCCAGGTGGGCCCGTGTGTGCCATGAAGGAGGAACAGCTGGGCCATGGGCGGGAAGCAGCCCATGCCCCAGCTGTGCTGAGGCTTACCTGAACAGTGAGGAAGCCCCAGGCTGGCATCAGCCTGTTTCCACCTCTTCCTCAGACAGGGTTGAAGGAAAGGGCAGATTTTGAGTCAGAAGATCTGAATCTAGAACAGTGAGGAAAAGAGTATGGCTCAAGGTGTACCAGATGATTCCATTGCTTGGGGGTTAGAAAAGGTGTGTGGTTCCTGAGGAGGCGCTGGTGGCATTGGAGGGGCTCTTGCTTACACCCATCTTGGGCAGTATTCAACTGACTGCCCTGCATGTGGATGCTAAGAGAGATCAGACTTTACTCTGCCTTTGCATTAGAAAGCCCAGGATGAAGGTGGTAGTGATGTGACTCCATCCTCTGAGGCACCCCTCAGAGACACACCTGGGTCAGGCCAGCACCAAAGTATTTCTGTACCCGGACTAGGTGTGCCTTGCATGTAGCATTCGTAGCAGGCCCTCCACAACCCCAGCCAAACACCATCCAGGTGCTCTCAGGCTTTTTAGGGCAAAAGCTTGGTTCTGGAGGCTGAGGCAAGGCTTTGTGTGAAAACTTTGTGACTTTAGCTGGTCAAGGTTAGTCATTTAGTGAAAGTGCATTTTGATACTTTATCCTAGATTTTCAAGTCCCCCGCCCCCAGTAATGGTCCTGAAACAAAGACAACTTCAAAATAGTGACTAGGAAACAATTGGTCTGAGGTTTCCCATAAAACCTCACTTCTGAGTTAGTTGCCACAGCACAGCTGGCGCTGTACCAGGTAGGGGTCAGCTTCAGGTGGTAGCCTCACAGGCTGAGCCCAGGGACTGAAATCAAGTCTCCTCTGAATGGCACTCCCTTTAGTGCTGCCCATGGCCTTTCCAGGCCAGATTCCAAAGATCTGGGGAGCCAAAGTCCTTTGCCAGCTGGAAAGGTAGTGAGTGGCAGCCAGTCTGAAGTGCATATGTAGGGGATTGGTAACAATGACCCAAGAGGCCTCCCTGCTGATTGGCTTTGCCTGAGCTGGGACCAGTGGCCGCTTGACCTGTAGCCATAGATTTCACTTGGGAGCTAAGTGAACACGCTGTGAACCTGAGCGGCTCCTGGTTTTTCTCTTCTCTGGGGGCCATGTGGCAGTTCCAGCCTCTCAAAGAGCAGAGTCCACAAAGAAACTGAACTAAGTGTAACTACTGTGAGCTCCCCTGGGGACAGTCTGAGGAGGAGGGCAGTCCCCTTCCTCCCGCCCTGCTGGGGAGGGGACTCTTGACGTCAGACAGGATTCCTCCCACGCAGGAAGGGCCACAAAATCTAATGTCATAGTGACTGGACATATTCTGTAGGAAGGTGACTGCCTGTACTGAGCCTTTTTGCCTTTTCTGCGCTGAAATGAACAGCCGCAAACCAGGAGCTGGAGGGTCCAGCTCAGCTTCTCCCCTACCACTCAGGAAAACCCACCTCTGGGTGATGGGGTTTAAAAGAAATCTGAGCCCTGGGGTGTGGCTCAGTGACAGAGCACTTACCTAGCATGTGCAAGGCCCTGAGTTCCATCCCCAGCGCTGGGGCTGGGGGTCGGGGTGGAATCCTGGCTTTAGAAAATGAAATGACCAAGATTTTGGTGTCAAGGATGGAGCTGCTCTCTTCATGTTCTGCCTCCTAAGTCATAAAGGAAAATGAACAGTCTGTCGTGTTTTCTCTTCTGTCAGTCATTACTCAGAAAGAATGAGGTATGCCTATAGCAAATCCTCATGGTTCCAGTGTGCTTCCCACAGTAAAATGCGGCTTCCAGTAAGCAGATGACCTCAGCTTGTTCTTGTTAAGAGCTTGGCTTACAAAATCTCTATTAGAAATTTTCTCTGAATGGAGTTAGATCTGTCTTGTTAGGGTAGAACTGGAGTCGGGGCTGGGGTGTAGCTCAGTGGTAGAGCTCTGGCCTAGCATGTGTGAAGTCCTGGGTTCCAGCCCCAGCACTTTGAGAACAAAAAAGGAATTTAAGAAGCAGATGTGGCTGTTTGGCCCCATGCCGCACACGCTGGAGAGAGAATCCTGACTGCGGTGGGTGGGATGAGTGCATTGCAAGGGTGCAGGCAGGCTGCTGAACTTGGCTCCCTTCCTCCCCCAGCCTGGCT